GCCCCACCCACCCACCTGATCAGCTGCTAAAGAAGCCGGAGCTCAGCTTGCAGTCCTCTGTTGTCTCATCAAGTTTTAATATGGGCCGCTTGTCCGGGTTTGATTAGTCTTTTCAACAGTTCTTTTTGTTTGTTGCCAAGACATTCAGGCTGTTTATGTACTCAGTCAACCCCCCCTCCACACACACACACACATACACACACACACACACACACAAACACACACACAGAGACACACACACACACTCACCACATCCACACGCAGCTTTATGAGGCCATATACAACACAGCATGTTTTCTCCTGCTCTTTTAATGCTCTCATTATTGACCAAAGTGCAACACACAGGTTTAAGTTCAGAGACTAAGCAGCTTTGGATTTTCTAAGTGCTGCCTGTTATTTCCTAATTTACCTTTTTTTCCCCCTCTCTCTGGAGCGAGTTGACGTGAGGCGCTTGCCTGAATGTTCAGGCTGCGAACGTCACAGTGGATTCAGCTCACGTGTTCCAACAGAGAGGGTGATGGGGAGGCAGGTTTCTGTTTTCATGGAAGCTTTGGGGTCTCTGTGCGTGTCAGTCTGGGTGAAACTGTTGACCAGCTGATAACTGCCGTATCAAGGAGGAGCTCTCCATGGAGGTGAGGCAGGTTGTAGAGATTGCACGTAGGTGATCGTTGATGGAGCAGCTGCTGATGTAGTTGACACGCAGGCTGTGTTTGCCCCGAGATTAAGACTTCCACTTTGTTGAAGGGTGTTTATTTAACAAGTACTTCAAACTTGTCTCTCAGTAGTTGTAGCTCAGCATRTTATACACCTGTGGTAAGTGTCGTGTCCGAATCGGAGAGTAAAAATCAACATGGGTTTGAATTTAGCTGTTTGTACAAAGTGACATCAGGGACACTTGAAGAGGATGGGAAAATGAGTCAAGTTTCCCTGTTTTATTTTTTTTCCAAATGTTTTTTACTGTCTGAGCCTAYTTTATAGTTTCTCTCTGTATCCAGGACTCCAAGCTGCCCTTCGCGCTGCGGAACAACCTCCTTGACCTTTTTAGCCAGATTGAGCGTGAGTTTGAGACTCTCTACATCGAGAACCTTGAGCGTGAGTTTCTGGCTTTATCGAACTTGGGGGGTGGGGGGGGGTGTATTCAAGGTTTTGGAAAGAGATTCTGTGGAAAGGGTATGAAAAGTTACTGTCTTACCTGCTTTAGGTCGCTCTTTGAACACCTTTAGTGTGGAGAAACAGTTTAATTCTGATAGACTTGGCGAGCTAATGGCTAATTCAAAACAAGGCAAAACGAAAGTGGGTTGCTGTCACCTTAAAACAGCTCCCATCCCAATAATCTACAAAAATTATTTTAAGCATTTTTATACTACCGTCAATTTCACCCTACACAGTAATTCTGTAGAAATTTATTTATTTATTCATTGCAAACACCTAGTAGCAGCAGCTAGCGACAGCAGTTTTGAGCCTCCTCCAACAGGATTATCAGAATATTTCTGCCGACGTAAATGTGTAAATTAAAGACTGACAACAGT